ATCGAGCCTTATATAAAATTCACCTTGCTGGCGTATTGTTTATGACACCATTGGCAACTTTGAGGACTAGTCGTGATGCTGCCTACTGTTTGGCTGAAACTTGGATTCGGCAGTCCTGAGAATTCGGATTCCTCTTGTCGGTTACTAGGCGGCAAGGCCGCGCCAGGATGGTTCTTCATGATATGTGCTTTACGCTTGCTGCTACTTTTATAAACCTTAAAAAATACAATATATTAAAAAATACGATAATTTTATCTCTACTTAAAAATATTTTACTTTGTGATGATACCTTATCGCAATACTGGCAATAGTAGTCTCTGGTTTGTCGCAAGATAGGCAAGTTCAATTCTGGCACAGATTCGGGAGCCACATCAGGATGCCGTTTCGCTAAGTGATTCACCAGCATTCCTCTTCGTTTGAAACCCACCAGGCATTGATGACATTTGTAAATGAAGCGATTGTAATCGCTCGGATTTATCTATTAATAAAATGAAGTAATGTATAATCAATCACATGTTTTTTATTTTGACGTACCTTTGGCACAAATTTCTTCGCCTGATTATTTTGTGTCATTTGTTCTCCATTAACCGTTTGAGAATGATGAATTTTAGTCATATGCTCCTTTAATTTATCCTTCCTTTTGAATCGTTTACCGCAATTCGCACAATGAAATTCTCTGAACAAACAAAAGTTGATTAAATTTTCATGTATCTTATTAACATGATCGACAAATAGTTGAATTAAAATTGTACCTGTGATCGGAGTGCTTTAACAGATGCATTCGCAATTTGTCGACCGTCGGAAAACGTTTCGCACAATGCTGACACTTGTGCTTCCTTTCGCAATGATGTGCCCGAATGTGTTTGCGAATGACGGAGTATTTGATGAACGTTCGCTGGCAGTGAGGGCAACTGAATATACCATCTTGATTTCTATGTGTCTCAACGTGATCCTTTAGCATCGTACCTTGGCGAAATAGCTGTCTGCACATTGGGCACTCAAAGACCTGTTTGTTTTCTGCAAATACAGAATTATTATAGCATAGCAATTGATACCAGAAGCTTGTTCTTTTTAGCTGAATTCGCTAACGGTTTAATTTTCCTTTTTTTCGCATTAAAAAGAAAAAAATAAAAGACGAACTATGCACCTCAAATTATTTAACCCTTATTGATTCATTATAGATTTACCTTTATGCGTTTTCAGATGACCGGACAATGCGGAATTGTTCATAAATCGTTTCAAACAAATACTGCATGGCAGTGGTTTTTGGTCCTCAGCACCATGCGCCAAACAGTGCTGTTGTAATCGTATCTTTGTAGCAAAACGTTTGTAACACATTGAACACTTGTATGAACCTAGAGGAGTTAATCGCTTTGCCTTAGGTAATGCCGTTCGTCCATGCTGAGACACATGATTCACCAATTCGCTTTGTTTCTGGAATTCTTGTCCACATTGTGGGCATGTGGACATTTGATTTTCAATTTTGATATTGTTAGAAGAATGAACGGCCATGTGCAAATTAAGCAAGCATGCAGTCCTGAAAATCAATTTACACATGGAACATTTCCATTCCTTGTTGCACTTGTTCTGCCGCGAGTTCTCCTTTTCTTTTATGTTTCTGTCGCGAAACATCTTTATACGTCGATTGTAAGAATTATTATCCAAACGTGGCCATGTGGATGTTTGATTTGCCACTTCTGCTAAAAATAAGGATTTAATTTGCGTTAGTCAATATTTATTATAATGTATCAGAACATAATACATAGTATCTATATTTTCTTTATACCTTTTTCATCTTTTATGTCTGGTTTGAGTATTGGTAAATTTCTGCGACTTGCATAGTCTGGACTAGGACCTGCTTTCAGTTCTTCTTTTGGCGAAATGTTTCTATTAGTCAAAAACACTATTCCATCTTTCTGTTGACAAATTATTAGATTTTGTTCTTTATATGTCAGTGCAGGTCGCACAAAACGCATCCAATTTGAAGTATCTAAAAATATAAGGGGGAATTTTAAGTTCGAGTATCTTAATCAAAAACGAATAAACGCTATAGACGTCACTTACTTTCGTTGGAAACATCTACTTTCAAGAATTCTCCATCCTGAGTCTCGTAGAGCAATGGCAAAGCGTTCTCGAAGGATGAGCCATCATAAGTGCACAATACACCTTCTATGGGCCCAAATTGTGTGCGTTTTCGAATATTACGTTTTGCAAAAACTCCATAGGTAACGTTATTTGCTGAACCATGCGATGTTGACAGCTTATTTAATAAAAGATATGATCCTGGCAGTGTTGCTACAGCACGCGATGGTACAGGTTGATCTGCGATAGTGCATACATCGGTCAAATTAGAGCTATCATCTTTGGCACAATTACTGTCATATTCGTCATCTCCCCCTGCAAAAATACTCATCCAATATATAAAAAAACCTATATAAAGAAAAATAATATATAAAAGAGAGATTAAGGCCAAGAAATAAATTGTAAATTTAAATAAATTGTATATTTATATAAATTATAAAGTAAAAAAAAACATTGCTTTTCTTTTATTTTATGATTTATGTAAAATTATATAAAATTTATATAAAAAAGTAATAATAAAGTGATAATATTTATCATAACATGCTTATAGAATAAATATTATACTTACAGAAATTTTTCTTATCTGTTATATGTCGTTTAGATCTCCTTACATCTTTCTTCTCAACTATTTTTTTCTTCTCAATGGACAATGGGTCTTCAGTAATTTGTTCAATTTCTTTATCACATTCTGACAAAGCAAGATTGTTATTTTCTTTATTTGCATCTTCAGTAATAGGTAAAGCAATAGGGTTGTCCTCTATCTCCATGTTCTGATTTTTAAATGTGTTGATGACATTTATTTGATCATCCTGCATCACCAGGAAGTCTCTAGTTAGAGCAAAGTCTGTGCCTGGTATTCCTGTTAGCATCAAGGGAGTCGTCGAAGATTCCAACTCAGGTGCAGTTTCTGAAAGTGTTATGTAACAGTCAAAGAGTAATACAAATATCATCTAACATGTATACTATAATATATATTTTATTTAATAAAAACAAATGTTTACCCTGCATTAAAATTAATTCACTGCTGACGCTAGACACGAGTCCATCTTCATTCCCATTGCCAACAAAGTCTGTGGTACCATCCGTTTGAGGTACAGTTTGAGTATCAATCGGATGAGCCAGCTGAGTCACATAATTGATGCTGGTTCGTATATTTGGTTCAGGCTGGGACATTAAGGGCGAGGTTGGACCTTGCAGCACAACAACAGAGTTATGGAAGGGAGAAGAAGGTAGTTGGACTGGTGTGGGAGAATATCTAGCAGTAGAGCTCATATTTGGATCCAGCGGGCTGACTCGATGCTCAAACTCTGATAGGGGAGAAGCCGCCCTTGGAGAAAAGGAGATCTGCTCGTACGTAGGAAATAGCCGAGATTGATCTTCCACATATTCCACCTAGCAACAGAGCGGTTACATCATGAAGATGGCTACTGACATGTTTATCGTAAAGATCTATACAATACAGACTTTCAAGGGAAGTTCTAAGGATGTTCCTAGAAGATGTCCTACATCCTAAGAACGTTTCTAAATAAAGACGTCCTTATGATAAAGTGTGCTATGTAGAAGAGTTACTCACAGTCAGGAATAGCAGTCTGTTGTTCAACTTCTTCGGCTGTTCACACAGCGATGAGGTAAAGGGATGATCCGTAGGCCAATTCACTGAGATGTCAGCTCCCCTGTCAATGCTAGATATCTCGAAGGACTCGGCAGGGGCCCCCTCAGGAGGGCCCCTTGGATCCATCTTACGTTGACGTATCGCACCAGCGATGTCCGTGGTTTGGTCGTCTGTGCCTATATTACAGTCACATTCGACCGTGGAGACTTGCACACGGGAATACGCGGAAGAGATTGATCAAGATTGATGGATCGTAAGGATAACACCAGGTCGCTCTAACCGCGACGCGCGACCCTCGGTATTCCAGGAATGACGCAGGCGGTCGACAACATCCCGCGCAAGGCAGGAAACAGGTGTTCGTTACACAGACCTCCGTTATTTTGAACTCACACGAGAAGACTCGCCAGCCTCAATATATAGGCTTCGAAGTCGATGCACCTCTCGCTAGTTGATGATGTACGTACTACTGCAGCAACTGGCCCCCTGACAGTCGACGATGCCGATCTCGCATAGCGATTGATTAACGTCGAGACGGCGGGAAACTTTGAACTTCGACCCACGAAACAGACTTTCAGATTGCGCGCTATTATTTTATAATTGCATAGGTTTATTTATAAAAATCATAAAATCTATTTGTAAAATCTGGAAGTATATTACTAATTATCATCTAAATAAACGCGCAAAGAAAAAAAGAAAAAAAAATGTTTCTCTTTATTTATTATTAAGAAGTAAATAAAAAGAAGGCAGTAGAACACAAAATCGTAATAATCATAATAAAAATCAAGATGACATCAAATAGCAGTCATTTTAGAAAAAATAATGTCATATAATTGTCAATAAGTGACTTTTTAACTAAAAAGTATATGTGATATGTTATATGATATAATTATTTTTAGTTAAAAAATAAAAAAAAACGCTTAAAATTATATCAAAAATTCATTACAAAAATCATCGTCAAAAATATATCGAATAATATTATAATCTTCTTTTAATGACTTTTACTTTATGTCATCTCGATCGTATTATAATTTTGTTCTACCTGAATATAATTGCAATTGAAATTAAAATACATTAAAGTTTTATTCGTGCAGAGAAGCTGTTATCTTCTATTATCTCTCTTAATGATACAATATGTAGGGATATAGATAATATTTTCATATTAAAAAATTTCAAGTAAAGTTATATATGTTATTAATTATTCTCGATATCATTAATTTAAAAAAAAATTAACAAAAATTTAAAGTATTTATTTATTATGCAAGGATAGCAGCATGTCGCTTAATATTTGTATTTCTCCAGCGATTATCGCTCCCACTTTCGTCCTCTATCGTCCAACTAATGAATGGGAGTCGTTGGGACTCTTATGTTCACCTGACACTGGGAGGGTTCAAGCTTTCCCTAACAACAAGGAAACAAACACGGATAAATAAGGGGTTGGCGCAGTCCACAAAACAAAGTAATACGAAGTGGACATTTAAATTGATTATCATTTCAATTGTCTCTAATTGACAAGCATGATGCTGTTTGAGGATGAGGTGAGGAAGCTGATGAACGAGATGATGAAAGTAACGATTTTCAAGCCTTCTGAGAAACGGCGAATGCTGGAAGATGAAAGAAAAACTTTCCTGGATCCGAATGTGATAATGGACGCGAGGCATAGAATATTTCGTGAGAATCTGGCAAGTTCTCCAGCAAAATCTTCTGTCTTAGCGGAGGCTAGAAGGTATACACCTTCGAACTTTATATATACTTATAAAAGTATAGATTTTATATATAATATGTCTATTTATATTTTATTTATAATATGTCTACTTATATAAGCCTAATACATATAAAATATAAATCTATAAATTATGGTTATTAAAATTTGTGATTTTAGTGCTTATATTTTAACTATACTGATATTATCGTACATTAGTAAAAGTTTTTCTCAGAATTTTTATACGAATTGGAACACTTTTCAGAAATACTAAGAAAATCTATGTCTTATTTCAGAATCTTGTCTCAGAATTTTTCATATACATATATACATATGTGAATTCTGAAATATTTTAACATTTCTACGATTTCTTCTTCTACAATTTAAAAAAAATACCTTAAATTTTTTCAGATTTTGTAAGACTTCATCAGAGATTATAAAATGAAAAGTCTTAGAATATTTCATAGGATTTATGTAATAAGAATTCTACATTCAAAATTTATAAAAGAATTTTAGAAAGATATAAACTTTCAGAATTTACATACAGAACAAAAAAAAGAGGCAGACTTTTTTGGCATTTACTCTAAAAAGTGATTCAATTTGTATAAAAAATGTGAAAAATTTTGTGAAAGGTTATAAAATTATTTAAAAATTCTGAAATTTACAAATGAAAGTTTGGAAAAATTCTGATAAAATAATTAGGCAACTTGGCAAAAATAACGAAAAGGAAATGATACAAAAACGAATTTCATCAATTTACAGATTATTAACGCAAGAAAAAATGAAGGAACTACAGATGAAAAGAGAACAAGCTTTCATACAGAGAGAATTACGCAAATTTGAGCAAGATTTGCAAAAGTCCCATCCTAAATTTTGCGGATTGTGCAGTAAAAAGAATATAGCTAGTTCGGATGATGAAAACTTTTGGAGGACATCCAGCAGAGTCAAGGTAAAGTTCAGCAATAAATTAGATATTTACTAAGACTGAATTATCACGTATCTGCGAATATATCATAAATGTTTAAATATCTAAATTATATTAATAAGCTAAAAATTTACAGAGAATTCTCATTAATAAAAGAAGGAGCAAACCGATCGAGCAAAAACCCACAGTCACTCAAAAGAAAAATAAAAAGCCAATCGCGGAAGTCTCTTCTGCTGAATCGAAAGACAGCAAGCGATGTTCGACAAACGAGATCGAGATAGCGCCTTTTGGTAACATTAAGGTGACCATCAAAGATAAACCAAACTACGAATCGGAAGAGCAGCGATTAAATATTTTAATATTATATTTCGAAGTTCTTCGAAAGAATGCGCGGGATAAACGCCGTCTTTACGAAATCACGACTCGTATCCAGACCATCTTGTCGCAAAGAAAACTGAAATTATACATTCATATATGGAAGATGCATGTGAAGAAGGTGAAGGCTGAACGAGAACAAGCAGCGGAAAATCCTGACATACCGAAGATTGAGATGCTCGTCGACACTATCAAAGAAGTACAGAAGGAGTTAAAGTTAAATCATAGTATAAAGCCAAAGGATTCTCCCTCAAACTCGAGAGACCCCGAATCTCTCGAGAAGAAGAAGTTTCCTTCCAAACCATTCATTGTCGAGTCGCCGACACAGTATCGATTGAACGCTCAAAAAGAGATTATTCGCAAGCAGAGGATGAAATTGGCAGAACAGAACAAGATCATCGAGGAACTGAAGCTAAAGCAGGTGCAAGAAGCAATAACGAGGTCCGGCGAGGAAACAGTGAATGTAGCCAGGGAGACTCTGACCCACTGCGGTCAGCAGACTAGAAGATCTTTGATCCAACTGATGAGACAAGCAGGCTACAGGTAGTCCTGTAATTATGAGCGTCCTATTTCATTTCGTCAAAATGTTATTATGAATTTTTTATCTCAAAGACTCCAGTAAATTTAATAAAGTCTTGATTCTTGAATACGATTCTCAATCGAGTTTGCACAGAAAAAAGAGTTTTGCTGAAGTATCTAAAAGTTTAGCTAAATACAGATCTGAAAATAAATTTACTGAAAATCAAAGTAATTATATAAAACGTTCAAGCTGATTGCTAATATGTTAAAACTTTTTATAGCATTGTTTATCATGCTTGAATTCTCTACAGAATTATTTTAATGGTTCAATAAAATTATTTTCAGATTTGTATCTAACTTTAGATACTCCATCAAATCGTTCCTTCCGTGCATCAATAGAAATTTTGAAATTCAACTAGTAACCAGAATAATAATCACATCTTCTCAAATCATCTTTATGTTCCACGTAAAATATATCTCTCTCTTTTATGACATCGTTTGCATCAGATATGTGTATCTATTCGCACAGTGTGCGAATGTATTTTGAATAACTAAGCTCTCTTATAACGAACGACGATGACGCAAAGCGTAAAGACGCTGGAAGCTCAGATCTTGTGGACCAAATTAAAGTAGACCGTTGATTATATTGCTTGCTTTATGTACTGCTCTTTCTACAGCTTGTGAAGTAGAAAGTACCTTAAAGAGGAGATGTTCAGAGTCTAATCCTTTGTGGTATAGTAGATTAAATCGAATTATGCAAATTTAATTTGGCTTGGCGGATTCCTAATTATACGCTCTTCTTTAATTAATAGGCACAAATCTCTGATAGCACCAGTTCAGGTACCGAGTCCTCCTAAATTTCTAGCGAGAATGGAAGCGCGAGCGGAAGCGAGGAGAGACAGAATAAAGCTGCGCGAAGAAGCACGCCGGAAGAAACTAGAGGATGAGAAGAGGAAAGAAGAGGCTGCCAGAAGAGCGGAGGAACAAGAGAGGAAAAGATTGCAACAAGAGGTCAGATAATATGATAGGTCAAAGTATATTAATATCGTATTGAGTGAACATAGCACACTTAGGCTCTCATAGCTTTCACCTTGTTAACAAAATTATCTCTTGCGAGGGACGTTTCCAGTAAATATTATACCGTAATACTCTAGTTTACATTTAATGATATAATATCTCATTTATTTGTACTTCATTTTATAACATAATAAAGTACTTTATGTTCTAATGCCTCTTACACGCTACATTTAGAAACATACCCGCGTTTGAATCTAAGATTTTTCCGTCCTCAGGCATCGCGCGAAGCAAGAAAAATGCGTGAGGAACGGGAGCGACAAAGAGCGTACGAAGTAGAAAGATGTAAAAAATTAAATGCCATGGCAGAAGCATTTTATCGCAAGTACTTGTTGCGACGTTATATAACCGTGCTCGTCGAAAAGAAAAATAATGATATGAAGAAAGCCGACGACTACTATAAGCGGTGCTTGCTGCGAAAAGTGTTCATGATGTGGAGGATGGAAACGGAACGTCAGAATAATGTTAAATTCGAGTTAGCTACATCGTTGTACAATAGAAATTTATTGCGGTACGGATTGCAGAAGTGGAAAGAAGTCGCGAAGGAAGAGAGAAGAAAGGACCAAGTGGCGAGAGACTTTTGCGACATGAGATTACTGAATAAATATTTTGAAATGTGGAAGATAAAAACTATAGAATGCAAAGTAGAAGAGTTAAAGCGTGAACGTTTAGCCTTACAACACTACGAAGAAAAGTTGAAAATTAAGTATTTCAATATGTGGAAAAGATATCCAGAAATGATACCGATTATCTTGGAGAGAAAGCGATTAAGAAACATGTGGCGGGAAATTGTGCAAGAAATAATCCCAGACTTTGATCCCAGGCAAAGAGGTGTAATATTAGAAGACTAGTGTAACAAATTTAGAAATAACTTAGATTTAATACTATACGACAATCGTTGGCCTCGAATGAGGTAAGTCTTAGTCCTAAGTACACGCAAAAATAATACTCTTTTATGTAAAGTAAAACGCAAATCATATTACTGTACATACGTATTTAAGTATTCTTTTTACTTGAACTTATTTTAGAGTGTATTTGTGTGTGTGTGTGTATGTGTGTTCAATTAATACAATTTACTATATTACTCGTACAATGGCGATTTTATCACAGTTACAATAAATATACAAATAGTATGCACACGTATGATACATTAAGGATGACGAATGTAATAAGTCTCAATGCTTCATGATATGTTGAACATGATTTCACGATGTAATGAAAGTAACATATCTATTATACTTTTCATGAATTATGAATCTTAGACAGAGTTGGCAACGTTAACTCATAAAAATAACTCGTTACTGTTCTTTTTCTCCAAAAATAACTCGCTATTGTTAATCGTTACTCGTTATTGATTTGCAAAAGTAACTCGTTTGCAAAATGTAACAAGTGTTTACTTTTTTTGCTTGATGCTAACAAAAATATTATAGCGTTTTTCATTGGCAAAATTCAGTGCACATTAAAGCCGTTGTACACTACTTTAATCTGAATGTAAAAATGAAATATCTCAATTGATATAATGTCTAAAAGGCATTTTATCTCATTTAAAAATTTTCAATACATTTTATTATACCATTTAAAATAAATAGCATAATAAAATGTATTGAAAATTTTTTTCGCGGTTTATGTTTATCGCGTTTCTATATTTTTATTAAACATACATTTGCGTTGATTTGTGTGTACGGATTTAAATTGCACTGAGTGCGCACTACCCAGACAGCACAGAATATTTATGATAAATGTTTATTAATATTCATTTTGTGAAATGTTATATAGCTATTTCATACATATATAATATTTATATAATATTTATGATAAATATAAATAAAAATTTTTAATAAGTATTTTTTACTTGGATTATAATGTCTCATTAAGTATCTTCACAGCATTTACTATAACATGTATAATAATATTTCATAATATTTAAAATAAATGTATATGATCTGTGCAATTTCGAGATCACAAAAATATTTACAAAATATTTAAAATAAATCTTATAAATATTTATAAATATTTTATAAATATTGTGTCTGGGTAGTTCTATCAATGAAAAACACTACTATATGCAGATGTTTGCGATAAATATTCTAAAAGGAAGTCAGAATTCTTTTGATAGAGGAATAAAGCCCAAAAACTGATATACATACACGGTTTAGTTATGACTAAAACTTTGTTAGAAATATAAAGTAACGATAAAAATAACTAGTGAAATCGTTACTATTACCCCAAAAATGTAGCTGCGTTACAATGAACATTACTCAGAAGAAAATGTAACATCGTTACCCATTCGTTACTGAAAAAAGTAACCTGTAACGGTAACGACGTTACAAATAACGCGTTATTTGCCAATCCTGATCTTAGACATCAGAATACATCAAATGGATGAAGATAGTGTGTAATCGAATCGATGTTATTATTGTATTCTCATCCACTTGTATTAAATGAACTTATTACGCTTAACGTTATGAAATATTTTGGTCTTACTGTTCTCTAGTTTGTCGAATTTGATTTCATTATATCCTTTGTACAGAGTGTAATGTATACACCGTGTGAAATAAATTTAGTAATCTAGCTTATAAATAGAGGTGTACGAATCAAGCATTCGTGAAGTCGAATCAAATCGAATGGAATCTTTGGTAATAAGTTCGAAAACGAATTAAATCAAATTTGAAATTTTTGCGTTAAATCGAATCGAATCTTTTTTAAAACTAATCGAATTTGAATCAATTTTTACATTAAAATGAAGCAAGTAAGATAGGCGAATTCGAAAACAAATCACCGATAATTCGGAATTTCAAACTTGTTCGGTTTTGAATATCTCAAATTCGAAAACGAATCAAATCAAGAGAGAGAACTCACTATGATTCGATTCGATTCAAATTCAAACTACTCGCACATCTCTATAGATAACAATCCTAAGTTTTGCAGCAGAACAGCTGAGATACATTTAGCATTCTATAGTCGGACTGATTTTTCATGTCCAATCGTCGCTCGTTCGATGTCGTGCCGATGTAGAGCAACCGTAGGTGATATATAAGATAACAAAAGAGCACTAGTCCCACAAAGAGGCTGTACAAAGCGGAGACGAAGCAAAGTGCGATGCTGAAACAATATACACATTATTATATATCGATCGAGCTCGGACGTTTGCAACAAACAGTTGCGCGACATGTTATCGGTCGAACTTTTATATATCAGAAAACAAATAAAAGATATTATTTATTATGTCAATACATCTTGCAGGCCTGACAATTATCATTATCTTGCGATTATTAAACTTTATAGATCCCCTGTATCTTTCCAGTTTACTTCATTAAGTATTGGTATCAGTGATATCATTCACACTTCCCACTCGTACTCGTGATATATACTTTTCATATATACTTTTCAGTATACTTTTCATCTTGTGAAATAATTTCAAGAACTATATGCAACGTATTTTGATATTCTCAGTGTTTCAAAGTGTAATTAGAAAAACACAATAAATACATACTCTAATTGATGATACACGTCACTGCAGTCATCTGGTAAGAGTATAGTTCCAATGAGTATGAAAGGATGACAGACGCTAGTCATAGTCAAGTTGGAGCCATATATAAAAGCGATTGCGGAGAAAAATAAACAGCTCACATACCACCTTAAATTACTGGAACCTACGCAGCAATCGAGCCTGAAAAAGAAAGCCGAAGTAGTTAATACAAGTTACATAACTCTGTATCAAAGGAAAAAGTATTCAACGATATTCAAGGTACCATTTGCAATGATATTCCCTGTTGAGTATACAAGTCTGGCACAAGCGGCAGTGATGAGCCTTAGGTGGGGTCCTTCTCCTGCATATAGCGCAGAGTTCACCGCTGCCGTCGCCCAGTTCCAGAACGTCGACTGCACCGGTGTTCTCCTGTATCGAGGCATCCGCGTTCAGCTTGGTCTTGTAGCCACACCACATGCCACTGACCACGCACACCATGAACACGAGATTCTCCTCGGGCAGGATCTCCAGCAGTGGCACGACGCTAATCTCGAACACCAGCATCATCATCAGCACGCTTGTGATAGTCCACATGAGGAAGAACTTGGTACGCAGTAGAAACCTAAGGAAGTTGTGATGCAGGTAATAGACGAAGACCGGCGTAACCAGGAACACGGCGACTGTGCAGAGGAAGGCCTGGGCGGCGACCACCGCCAGGATCGGCACCACCACCAACGGCAGCATCGCGTCCACGGAGATCTGCTTGGCGCCCGCGCGCCAACCGCACGGATTACGCAGCCTCTCCCAGACGGTCATGCTTCGTCGTCGGTGGCTTGGAAGCGGTGCTTTCCTTTCACACTGGCATATGTAACGCAGAGAGCGTAAACGCGACGGAGCCTTTCGAGGTTAGATCGACTCCCGCGGATCGCGCCATTGACATTTCCCAACCAGACCGGCGACGGCGGCGCCGGCGGTGACAATATGGGGTTACAGCTTAACGGCTCTCGATACCGTCGCGCGGGAAGCGCTGGCGATAGCCAAGTTGAAAGTATCAAATCGCGTGAGGATATTCCGTTCGCGGAACAGAAACGAATACTTGCCAGTATCCTCGACCTGGCCAGTACTCGACTTCACCTCCTGGAACTCCTGGAAGTACGATCGTGCGAAGCTGCACGTAGCGTTTGTTACGTCATTTCAGATGGAAATAAAACTCCGCGTCGTCGCGGATCGCGGCGATGACGTGACGACGTCTCTCTTGTCTTCCTTTCAAATCTCGCGCAAGACTCTCGCAGCGGCGCTGCACTCTGGAGCTACAGCGATGGAGTCGGTGTGTACTCTCCTTTGTCATTCTGGTGCGTGATTGACAGCTAACCATAAACAAACGGCGAGCCGACTGGAGCCAACCTCGATGCGGCTTGTAACGTCGTATTGAGGTACGTAGGTGTGATTGACAGCAACGAGTACTCCGTAACCCCCATGACTGATCCTTAGTGTCTACCTGACCGTCCAGCGAAGACCTTCCCTGCCAAGTCCGTGATTTTTTTAGATTCGAGTCACATACACTTTCTCGGAGCGAAACGAGAATATAAAATTCTTGGGAAAAAGGGATAAATTGCAAGACAATTGAAAAAAACGAATACACTGATTGAATTTTTTACATATAGGTTTACCGTTACTGTGTTCTTCCCACACTTCTTATATCCATGTCCATCAATCCATGTCCTGCTGACAAGTGTGAAACAAAACAGAAATAAAAGATGCTCAATCAATAGCTGGACCGAATAGCCTGGACCGAAAAGACTTTCATAATCATCTGCAATGCACAAAGAATAAAACGGAAATGGACGAGACAGGATTGCGTTTCAACTTTCTCTTTTCTAATACATGCTGTACTTAGAGTAAGATTCATAGTTTCTTAAAGGACAATCTCAATCGCACTTTAGAAATAAATATAGAAATATAAATACAAGAGCTAAAAACACAGGGTTAGTAAAGGCTAATGATTTTTTTTAAGAATAAATGATTATGTTTCTTTTTAAATATGCTTCAAATATACTTTAAACATGATAAAAAAATATGTTTAAAACATATTAAAAACACCAATTAAGCATATTTTAAATTGTTTAAAACATGTTTTTTTTTACTAACCCTGAATATTATTTGTGTTTAACAGAAGAAACAACTTTGTATGTAATTGTTGTAAGATTCTTTAATATCAATGATTTAGAATAATTTAGATATTTAAATTCAATGGAGAACTAAAGACAAGACTCATATTAAAGTCTTATAATTAGAGATGTAAAAAAACCATTTTTAATAGAAAAAAATTGAAACAAAATATGTTTTTTCATAAAAAAAAATACAATTTGATTATTTATATTATCTTTTGCAGCATATCTAACAAAGAGTCTGAAATTTCTGAGACTATCGGAATTCAGAATAAGGGGAAATTATTCTAGATAAAGATATGATGTCAAGGATGAAATTTCAGATTTTTCTATATTGAATTTCAAAAGAATTGTACATTGAATTTCAGAGGATAAAGAAAATTATTATGTGATTGAAGTATTAATTAAAAATAATAACTAAGAACATTTTTTTAATTACGAACTGTGCTTATATTTAAATAAAAAAATAAATAATACTCATGTTATAAATTTAAATTCAATTTCAAAAAAATTTCAAATTCAAAAATTCAAATTATTTTTATTTTTTTAAATTTCAAATTTCAAAAATTTTAAATTCAATTTCTAAAAAAATAGAATTTTCAAAAAACAAAGTTTGTCTATTTTTCCTGGAAAAATGTGTTTCATGAAAAACTTATTTGATTTTTTATATATTTTGTTAACATCTCTACTTATAATAGTTGCAAAATTGTTTTTTCTGCTGAACGCAGCCATTCATAAAAAATGTTTATGTTAGCTGTACATTTTTGTATTTTTTACATTAAAAAATGAGATTGGTCTAGGTTTCGAAAGATAAACGGAAGACTAAAACAAAGTAAATAATGGAATATGTTTGAAACGA